TATATATATATATATATATATATATCAAACATTTTTTTAAATTAAATCTCTTCCATATAAATAGCATAATCCTTTTATGTTGTTTGTATTACAAAAAGGAGTTAAATTCAACGCGATCGAGGATTGATGATGGAATATAAAGATAGGAGGGTGGAGGGGCCGCCGGGTGGTAAATGGTAATTAGCAAACATGGCACATCATTTGGGGGAATAAAAATCCTCTGCTCCTTTAAATCCCCATTTCTAGCCCACTAATAATAGCAGGACACGTGTCCTTTTATTTTTATGACAACACATGTAAATCTTTCCAATCTTATTTCATCTACTACAATATTGACCGGAAGGCTTTGCAAAATATGCAAATACAAACTTCGATTTCAGCACCACCCTTTTCAAGATAGTGATTGGCTCAAAGACCTGTTTCGCCGCCTCTGCCTCAATCCCGAGGTAACGACGGAGCAACAGGATTCCCACAGCAGCTGGCGACACGCTGTTCACTCTAATCCCTTGCACTTCGAGCTGTTTGCTTGTTGCTCTCACCAACCCGATCACTGCGTGCTTCGACATGTAGTAATCGGTGAGACTGTTACCACCGGAGCTGACGCACGTGCTCGCCGTACAAATGATACTTCCTCTGATGTTCAGTTCCACTATGGCCCGTGCGGCGTATTTCACGCAGACAACCAAGCCGCGCACGTTAATGGCAGAGAGTCGTGGTTCTGGATCGTCTATTGGACTTAATTCTTCACTTGCTCTTTTTCGGTAACATCGCAGTGCACGTATGAGCACTTATGGCCTTATGGGAACCGATGGATTCGACTACTTTTTGGCCTAATTCATGTTGGATGTCAGCGATCACGATCATATGGGCAACGTGGATAGCAAACTAAAGGAGGATGGCTTCTCCGATGCCACTTGCTTTGCTCCACTGGTGATTATGGCTATTATGCCTTCGAGCTTGTTGGACATTACAGCCTCTGTTGACTTTGCCATGATACGATACACTAGGAGTGGACAATAATGGTAAAAGCAAAGCACCATTAGATGCTTCATTATAAACTAATGAAATGATGGATTTTAAATAAATTATTTATTTTCATCGACTAATTTTCTGGGTGAGGTGAGGTTGGAAAGGCATATATGTTTTCCAAAGCCTTCCAGTAAAAGTATACCGTCGAAGATGAAATAAGATAAGAAAACAATTTTTTTTTAAAAAATTTATGTGTTGCCATAAAAATAAAAATAAAAATAAAAACAGATGTCAAAATATTATTAATGGACACAAAGGGGTACATTTAGAGGAGTAGAGGATTTCCGTTCCATTTGGGGCCACCATGTGATTCTATATGAAAACTTAATATTTATAAGTACACCTTTCAAAATTATTAAACTATTTATTTAGTCACTTATTTATTACTTAACTTTTATTTTAATCATTTAATTATTATTTTTTTAAAATCATATCTAACATTACGTTTTGATCATTTACTATTAAAAAATTAATAGTGATACTGATGTGTGCCTATATTTATAATTCCATATCGGTATTGAAAAATAACAGAAATACCATGTCAACTTCATATAATCTTTTAACACCAGATGACTAAAGCAGAATCAAAACATAACATTATATATGATTATAAAAATATTAATAATTCAGTTGCCAAACCAAAAATTAAGTAATACGTTGGGAACCAAATAAATAGTTTTACACAAATTATTATTACGAGTACGACTATAGCAGTCATTTTTCAAAACTTTGTAATAGAAAATACTAGTATTGGTGGTATGAATTATTTTGTCTTCTCATCATTAAGATCTTATTTCTCTCTCCCTCTCCCCCCCCCCCTCTCTCTCTCTCTCTCTCTCTCTCTTCAAGTTTCTCCTCCATTCTTTGATCTTTCATATCGCCCTCTCACGAATTATAAAGGAGAAGGGCTTTCCTGTGGAAATATAGTACCAGTTATTCATGTGAACCCTAGCTAATCGATCAAACAGATAAACAACTAACAAAGACTACGTTGAGTGGGAGTGATTGATAGTTATGGCTTAGAATTTATCTGGAAAAGTTTCACTCGCAATTCAGACAAAAAGGAAAGCAAATGCCAAGTTCAACGAAATAGGTGAGAGAATTAGTGACCGCCAATCATCACCAAAAACCGAGTAAGATCATTTGGAGTGGAAACCCCTAGCAGTTTTTGTTTTAAACTTGATGGATTCTGCGTCAGAATGGAGTTCTGCACCCGACCGGAGTATCATCAACGAAGATCCACTTTCAGCTACAGCAACGCTACCCACGGCTTCACAACAAGGAGGCAGTGAGCCGACTTCTTCTTCCCCAGCGCCACCGAGCCGGTACGAGTCACAGAAGCGTCGTGACTGGAACACTTTCTTGCAGTACTTGAACAACCATAAGCCCCCTTTGACACTGGTTCGTTGCAGTGGTGCACACATAATCGAGTTCTTGAAATACCTCGACCAGTTCGGCAAAACTAAGGTTCACATAACGGGTTGTCCTTATTTCGGACACCCAAACCCGCCTGCCCCTTGCTCTTGCCCGCTCAAGCAAGCATGGGGTAGCCTCGACGCGCTGATCGGACGGCTGAGAGCTGCTTATGAGGAGAACAGTGGACTTCCGGAATCAAACCCTTTTGGGGCAAGGGCTGTGAGGATTTATTTGAGGGAGGTCAGAGAAGGGCAGGCTAAAGCTAGAGGGATCCCTTACGACAAGAAGAAGCGGAAAAGGCCTTCGGCCACAACTACGGTCGTGGGTGTCAATGTGTCGGTGGCTGCCACTCAAACGGTGGATTGTGGTGGGGGCAGCGGCGGCGTTGGTGGTGGTGGTGGTGAAACTGCGGCTAATTAATGTTGGTACTGCTACTACCATTACTAGCTTATAATGTTGCTTACGGGGTATATAAATATGTGGCGGCTCTTTCTGAAAATTGGATCGACATCCCATGAACCAAATTTAGTTAAAAATCTAGTTTTAATCTCTTTAGACAAATCTCTCTATCTTCTCTATGTTTCATAAGACCTTTTTTTTAATATTCTTTAGAGATTTCTTTATTTCTTGCAATCTAGGAAGTTATTACTAATTTATTATCAGAGGTGGATCGAAGGGTATTTAAAGTATATTACTCTAAAAATTTTAAATTATTATATATTTTAAATTTTTAAATTTTTTATTGATAATTTATTTTCGTCTCTTAATTTTTTTATAAATTTACTCTTCTTAACCTAACATAATATATTACGTTAGTCCTTATTTACTATTATATATATAAACAAATAAAAGGTGGAAGAAGAAACAACATAAATGGGTGCAAATGGGTTTATGTTTATTTATCCTTGTTTTGACCTAATAATTAAGCTCTAATCATGTCTATTTTTTTATGGAATCCTGTAAGGAAAAAAAACTATTTTTCTTTGACTAAAAAGAGAGAATTCTTGCAAATTCCTTTAGTTTATTCTTCTTCCTTTCCGACCATTAAATCTTGAACATTTTCTAAGACTTATTTGAGCATATTTTTCTTATTTTCTTCTACCACCATTTTTGTCAGTAACATTATAAACCAAGACAAAACTTCAAAGTGAGGAGTAACTAGAGTCAGTAAGAGGGTTCATGTTGGGACCATTTGTTAGCCTAATCTTTTACTACAACAAAATTTCCCTAAGCAAATTTGCATGCACACGTGCCTGTTTGCACTTGATATAACCTGTTTAAAATTATCTTTGTGATTGATGCCCACCAGCTCATTGTGAAATGGACCGATAGCCTACCTTAATGATTTCTTACATTCTATATTTTACAACTTAATTTACACTCTAATATAAACATATCATATTATTATTATTTCTCAATTTTTATATCACGATGTCTATATCAGCATCATATCTTACGTTGGTTATAAATTCAATTTTTGTATGTTCTTATCCATCCTTTTTTTTCCTATTGAGATTTAGCTGTTTCCACATAGACAACCAAAGAAGAGAAGTGCAATCAAAACACTCGTGTGTAATTCATCCTCTTTTGTATTAATACAGTGAGTGGGGCATGATATTTCTGAGAGAGAGGAAGTGCAGTGTCAACAACATTCATTGTGTGAATGGGACAAAAAAAAATCCTTTCATTGCTTGCTAGTTTTGTTTTGTCGCTACCCAAGGGGGGTTTCGTAATTGGGGGGGCCAATGCTCAATGGTACTTCATTAAATTTTATAAAATTGTGAATAGAGAGGGTGGGTGGACCGTGCAGTCTCTCTAGTGGCAGCTTCAACACCAAGTTTATTTGCATCTAAAGATTGAATCATAGTGTAACAATACTCAAAATTTGATTTGAATAAATTTAAAGGATTCGAATATCACTTGAAATTATAAAGTGATTAATCATTTATTTCAAAACTTCTTATCAAAATCTTGTAAAATATAATCTTCTCGTCAAAATAAATAAAATAAGTATTAGTTAAATTATAAAAAAAATACAAAACTTTATAGAGTTTAAATCAAGGTATATCAAAGTAATCGAGTTACAAACCATTAATATAACACATAAGGTCTTATGAATACTAACCCAAATAAGAACTTAACTATTGTACTCTGAAAACAGCTCAATCTATGAATCCTCTCTGTCGAAGCTCCTCAAATACTATCCAACCAAGTCACATACGAATGGAAATATCCGAACGCTAAGCTTGACAAGCTCAGTGGCATGCAATTACGATACGATAATTCATGTGATTCATAATATAAGCATGCGATACACAACAAGCATGAATCATCTCGGTATATGTCTCATGATAACAACATATCTTACATCACTACTAATATGAATATCATACAACACAACATAGAAGTAATTGGATCCAAGGGTTCGATACACTAAGCATCAAACCAATTATCAATATAATATTAAGTCCACCTGGCATCAGACATTATAACAATATGGTGTTAGGTCTACAAAGCATTATACAACAGTATGGTGTATGATCCACATAACATTAGACAACCCTCGTACGGCTCTTTATATGATGTTAACTCGGTCCATCCCTAAATGTATTACAAGTTGGTCCACAGTTTAGTCACACTACTTCCTGTCTGAAAATATTGGACTTACTATACCTCTTTTCTTAGCTTAAAGGGGGAAAAGAAAGAAAAAATAACTTAATTGCTTCTCGGAACTAAAATTAGTACAAGATTTTCTTTCATAAAATAACCTAAAAGGAAAATACATGGAATGCCCTCTTCCTCACGCACGAGGAATAACAGGATTTCAATAAAGATATTAAAAGCAGACATAATTTTCATTATACATAACCAATATATCAAATCCCGCATTCCGATTCTAACACTAGTGACAAGCAGTTAAGCACAACTTACATAAACTTAAGTCCTAGTTCTTAACAGTGTACATATATCGAAATATAGATACGCTTAAACAGTGCTGAACAGTTGGGCACAACTTACATGAACTTCATTCCATACATAACATATACATATGTTAACAAGTGCCTTTTTGCATTCTTAAAATTGAAACACCTACATAGAAGTTGCCATCTTCTATATCCATGACATAATACTTGATATGATTCTTGATGATAATGTTGATGCTGGTATTTCCCTATAGCAAACTGGATGGATAGTTTCTTTATCTTGGATTTGATTCAAGTTTTGTCCACTACAAGCCTTGGGCACAGCAGCACCCTTATAAGCCTTGCACACATAGCTTAAATAGTTTTCATAGTCCTGTAATATGATTTCCGATATAGCGTCATTTTTATAGAGTATGTCAGCCTTCAATACCAACATTGATACCAAGTAATCGGGATCGTCAATCAATTTGACAGTCAAGAAAACAAACCTCGTAAAGTGGCTGCCCATCCACAACGACCCAAGGTACATATTTATGTGGAGGTTCGAGGGCATTAGTTTCAGCTGCATATTGTAGATCAAGCTGCATAAATATAAACAATTCCTCATTAGGCCATTTAATTATGCACGCAGAAGATTGTTCTAACATGATATTTCTAAGAAAATTGAGCAAGCTATCATCCCCGAGGAATATAAACAACCTACTAATGGATAGTATATTAGTAATTAAATAACAATAAAGGAAAATCAAACAACAGAATCATAGAAGCTGACAGACATGTAAATCTTCAAAATATAGTTTAAGATCTAAGAAAACTGAAAGTCAAGTTCTATCAGTGGTTATTTTGTACACAACAAATAACAGGTGCTTGTGAAGTTATAAACTCACCCTATTCACGGTGATAAAAGCCATAATCCAAGAGTTAATTCATTAAAGCAATTTATAAGTAATTAAAATAACTACAAAGTGGAGCAGTGTTCCTTCCTTTCTACTTTATCATTCCACTTTCACTCAGTCTAGCAGGTGAATTTTCATTTATGGCTTTCTGATTTCTGTTCCAATAGTGACTTCAGAAATCACAACAAATCAGCAATTCAGCAAAGTAGTTATCAGAATCACTAAAGTAGAAACACTTTTCTTTACTTAAAGTTTCTTCAGGTACTCCAAATCAAACTAGGATACAACACAGATACTTAAAGAACCTTCCTCGAGCACCATAAATCTCATCATAAGATTACAAGTCAAAGCTGTGGTTACATGTTAAACTTCTTTCAGGGCTGCTAAACACAACAACACGTTACATTCCCTTAGTTAAAATCAGTTGGAGATTATAATGTCTATTATAATGGGCATGGATATCATTATGAAGCACTTTCTCTGTGCACCATAAATCTCAAATAAGAGATCCGTACGGTTACAAGTCAAAGTAATGGTTATATGCTAAACTTCTTTAAAGGCAACTAAATGCTCACGTCTCAGGTTCTTCAAATTAGTACCAACTTAAATACCAGGATATTCAATTCATTAGTTAACAAAAAGTGAAAAAGAAAACATATTCCTGGCAGAATATACTACCAAGAGGACTAAGAAATATAATCCAAGTTGCGTCAGATGAACAAACATAGTCAAATACTTAAATTGTAGCACAGAGAGTAGTGACTAACTTTTTTCCCAAGTCCATTGCTGTAGCAATCAATAACAGGTTTTGCTTCCAATCTCAATTTCTCAAAGCACGATTCCCATGCAAGGTACTTCCCCTCAAGTACCAAAGCCTCAACGCAATAGATAAATGGGAAATGGTCATTCTGCATGGCAAAAGCTAAAGGTTAACATAAACCATGTCGAATATTTCGAAGGTTGGAACATAGATTTCAGTTATTGTGAGTTATGGCATCTTCTATCATAAAAGTTAACAGCTTTAATTAAACTTTTGAGGCAAAATTAACTACAGAAAAACATGATGAAAAATATGAAGGAAAAAAATACCAGTTTAGGCCAGGCATCAAGTGCACAAGCTTCCACAGTGTTCAACAAACATTCAGCAGGACCATGCTGCAACCCAAACAAATAAATAGAAGTCAAATAAAAGCCGAATCGAAAAACAGGTTTAAATTGAAACACAGTAGAATATATGATAAGTAGACCTGGCATTCAAAGGTATCGTTGCCTTTGAGTTTAGCGTTCCCCCAAGGAACGAGGCGGAGATCGACGACGGAGATGAGATCATCTTCGAAGAGCTTCGGCAGGTAGTTGACTATGAAATTGGCGCTGAAGGGGCAAAGGGATTCGTAATACAAAGTCAACGAGACTTTATTTGAATCAGAAGGAAGAACAATTCTAGAAGCTGAACAAAATGAGACCCGCAAAAGGAGGCAATACAAGACTGAAACGGCAACCCCAAGTCGATAAACCGCCATTGAAGAAGGGGGAGAATGCCCTAAATTTTTGGGCTTTTTTTTCTATTAAAAAGGGACGAAAATATCGGATACCCGAACTACTAGAAGGAGAGGCAAGAGAATAAAAATACCGCAACTACCAACTACTATACAAGTGTTGTATGCTCAAGCCACAAATCAGAACAGCTGCTCTCGTATCTGCACCTACCCTTTTTCAAGGCAAAGTACATTAGAGTGTCTATGAACTGTGTTAAAATATTTCTTTTGTCAATAAATTATTAAATGTTATAAATTCATCCCTTCATATTATAAAATAGAAATAAATTTAAATAAGTTTAAAAATTATTTTAAATAGTTTAATATGTTTATGACTATTTTATAATATTAGAAAGTTTATTGACCAAAAATATCATTTTTGATATAGTTCATTGAATTTTTTAAGTAAAGTACATTAGAGATCATTGAATTATGCTTAAATGATTGTTCTGGGCACTAAACTTTCAAAGGTTACAAAATGGTTATTAAATTTATCAAACTCTTACAAAATGATCATTGCGATGTTATAATAAGTGTACAAGTTTGATAAATTTAAGAGTCGTTTTAAAATAGTTTGATAAAATTTTAATGACATTTTGTAACAATTTTATAAAATTTAATTATTATTTTATAACAATTTGATAAATTTAATGTTCATTTTGAAACTTTTGAAAGTTTAGTGACTAAATGATTAATTGAGCATAATATAATGACTATTTTACAATTTTGTAAAAATACAAAAAAATCATTTTTTTATTTTTTATGATTTTGTTAAAAGAGAACATTCATGAAATAAAATATTGTTTGGTTCATAAGATTGCTGGTGATATCAACCATTTTAAAGTAGAGCATAAATATATGAGGATGAATATAAACAATTGATGGAAACAATTGGATTGTGACGGTTGTAGGGTGATTTCCTCATGCTGGTTTAATTGCATAGTCACAACGGTTGGAAAATAAACTATAGAAAAAAAAGGTATTATTACTGGATGGAAAAATATAAAATGAAATATATAAGCAAAGAATCGATTAATTGTGTTATGGCATTAATCACTACCTTAGAAGCGAATACGTCTCGATGTGTTTAATCTCAACAATTAACGAATGGCCCCCGAGATTAGCACGGCTTTCTAAATTTCATACACCCGAAAGATGGAGTGGACTCTAGTGGGTATTGTTCTTCTCTCCACTCAAATCAACACTAAAAAAATATCAAAGAGAGTGTTTTTAAAAAAAACCAATTGCTTAAGGATATCTCAAATGAATGAAAATACTCACTATTTATAAGTTAAATAGTAAGGGTAAAATCGTTATTTCTAAAGCACAATCTAATTCTACTTAAAAGAGAATTAAAAGACATTTAGAAATAAGTTACAATTTGAGCATTAACAATATTCCTCACTAATGTGAAATAATTATTTCGTAAAAAGTGAGAACTTTGAAGTTAAAATACGAGAAGAACAATAGTGAGATTAATTGCTTAAGCACTAGAGAACGTATATGTAATTAGTACATAGTGATGATGAGTAATTCTTCTCTTAGATAAGTGAACGGTTATTGAACTTTCTAAGATTAAGGTGAACTCATAACACACAACTAACATCTTCATCCACCGAAGTCTTCGATGTGTCTACAAAGTGTGTTTGTGTGTATTAGTAAGTGTACTAGAAAAATGGCCCAACGTTTTTCATATAAGTGACTAATCCTTCTCACTTAAGTAGGTTGTTTCATCAGGTTTATCTCAACATAAACCACTTGAATCTAGACTATGAAATAATTAAGAGATTTTTACAACATCTCAATTTTACAATAAAAAAGGTGAATTTCTTCAAGTTCATATTAAATGAATCACCTAAACTCTAGATAATAAATCATTAAAAATAAATATACAACCTCTTTATTCGGTAAATTCAATAAGTCATTCTCAATAGGATCACCCAAACTCTGGGGATTGAATTCATAAGAGTTTAACAAAACTCATTCTCTTTAACGAGAAGTTCATCTAGTCATTCGTGATATGACTACTACTCATTCAACACTGGGTTATGAACTTATTAAGAGTAGATATTCAACAGAAATCGATAAATTCATCAAGTATTTCTAATTAAGACCACCCAAAGTATGGGCTATGAATTTGTTAAGAGTAGTTATGCTCATCATGTGCATGTATATTATTCGTTATAGGGATAAGTAGGTAGAAATATACACTATGAGTCTTTCAATGACTTCATTTGACCAGATTGAACTTATATAACTAAGTTGGGTTGGGTATCCATCATGAATTCCTCAACCAATTGATTTTAGACTAATCTCCATCGACGAATCAAGAAACATTTTTGAATTGAACATTTGGTAAGTGGATCAATTAGGTTCCTCTCCAATTTTAATCATAATTTAAGACACCCCATATTTCTAACATTTTTAGGATAGAAATAAATCCATAAGTGTCTTGAACAATTTGTAAACAAATTCTCTTTCATATATACTCAATCATACTAAAGTTTGTTATAAGTTTTAACCATAAAATTATGTTTTAACGAACTTAAATCTTGTTTACACATGATTATATTCTCAAAATTTTGAGAAGTTACTAGTCATTAAGATTAATATTCATAATCTCAAACGATTATGAAATTTTTTATGTCTCATCAATAGTTATTCATGACTTTTTCTCATTTAAAAGAAATTATAGTTTTCATAATTATTCATAAGAACTGTTTAGGAAATTATGAATATTATGAAAAAATTATTAGGAGTTTTCAAGTTTTCCTAACAACAGGAAAATTATCTCAAGTATTTTACAAAGAGATTTCAACACTTTTTAAGGTAGACAAATTCTTTCATTTCCTCTATTTAAGAGTGTATTCAATGACTACAAACCATCTTTCAGTAGCACTAATATTTATCACTTTTTCATTCATAATATTCAACACTAGTAAAAAAAACCCCTTTAATGACGCGCATTGCGCGTCATCTATGGGTGTGGATGACACACATTTATCTGTCGTTGAAGCCACCGACATGAATTTAATATGAAGCGCAAGTGTGCATCATAAATTTATGACGCGCATTTATGACACATATTTATGACGCGCATTTATGACTTTCACTGAGCGTCATTGAAGCCCTCGTCATAAATTAAGATGACACACATTTGTGTGTCATAAATATATGACACGCATGTATGACTTACATTGCGTGTCATTGAAGCACACGTCATAAAAAAGATGATACACATTCGTGTGTCGTGATTGTATTTCGTAAATTATATATATATATATTGTAGATTGATAAATAATCAAACTAAATCACATTTAATGCCTCATAATACTAAATATATATATATCATATTATATATAAGCAATCCATTTGCATACAATATATTCATATAGAGTTATCAAAAGTATTGTAATCATATGTCGATACAAAATATCACGACATAATAAAGTTATACTAATATGCCATCGCCATCTGGGCGTGTACACAAGAAATAATTGAAAATAATTGTAACAGTTAAAACTAGTTGCAATATATAGAACAAACACATTTCTAATATGCACATTAAACTTCTGAAAACACCTTCCTTGGTCGAGTATATTTATGCACAAACATGCACTCATGTTTCAACAAACCAAGTGATAGCTTACTTTTTGAAACTCTATCAGATTTTTCAGCAACTTTGTATTCTCAATTCCAATGGAGTTGAGGCTTCCTGATTCTAGTTGTGTTTCATCAACCATCAAGTTTGAGTTCGCAGATAGCTGAAGAACTCCATGAATCAATCTGCAATACAACGTGAAGTTATTTAGAAAAGAAAAACCTGAAGGTTCCAAGTTGCTTTCTTAATGCTTGCAGACATTAACTTCCCCTAGTTGTAGGGATACGATTAAGGATACATGTTTGTTTGATAATCCTTTTTTGGGGCAAGAGAGACAGTGTTTAGATATTCTAGTGGAGAATCATATATATGCAATAAAAAATGGAAAATAATCAGCCATGGTTGAAACGATAAGAACAAAGGGATTAAGAACCATATATCCCAAGAAGCATTAATCTGATACAAATACACCATGTATATGCAAGAATAATCACCTAGAAATAAGACACACAAATCTAGTAAATGTTTTTATAAAAATAAGCAGCAGATTCTCAAATCATTCAAAAGAATTGCAAATTTTTCATATACAAATATAAGAATTGATCTCAGGTCCCACATCCATCCAATTTCTCAGTACTAATGTGGTTTTAAAAATAAATCCAAATAAAACTGCTACATGAAGCATAAATTTTCACTTCTAGAATGTCCTACAAAAAGAAATGAGCAAACTAGTTTACTAAAAACACATTGACTAACCGATGACCTGCAAATCAAACATGGTTCTATTCTTCATAACTAAGAACAACTAAATTAAACTTGATTCTTTATACATTGATATTCATTGATGGCAAATAAAGCAAAAGAAAATCTAGACTTCATGGCCTATCTTCAAAAGACCAGCACTAATTGTCACTATAAAGAACAAAATTAACTGTAGCAAACTCATAATAACATTTGTTTCATAATTTTGGTTTAGGTAAAAATAAAGGAAGACGAAAATGTTAAAAAATAGAATTTGAGCCAGTTAAACAAAAGTAGATAAGAAAAGGAATAAACTACTGCTTCGACAGGAAGCTTCTTTATTCATCACCCAGATAAATTTCATAAATTTATATGACCATATTCATGAAAATTTTATGGTCATCCCTCCATACTCCAGACAAACTCACTTAACACGTGATAAGCAAACCAAAGTTCTTACTATGACTAAGAATACTAGATTTTCAAGTGAACAATCCTATTCCAGTTTTAAAAGCATAAGCTAATATTACATAGGATAAAATTGAGGAACATTGATCAGAATGTCAAACTAGTCAACTTAATATTCTTTCTTATCTCATTAGCTATCTATTGCAATAATTACATCTCACACTTTATACACATTAACATGTAGCTCAAGCATAGACAACTGTGCATGAAAATACCATGCACATGCCATTGTCATTAGCTATTACCAGTTAAAATTGAAGACAAAATATGAATATCATATGAAACTAAAAGAAATGGTGACAAACACAATCTCATGATAGAAACTTGTAACTTCAAACGAATAACACCAACACATACCAGAAGGAATTTTGATGATTTCTTCATAACAACTAATGTACTGCCAAGACAACCTGATCGCTGTCAAGAGAAAATATAATTGTATCTTAGCCCAGAAAGCATTTTAAGAGAAAAAAACAAAGTTAAAGTGCCAAGTAGAAAATTTCTGAGCACAGCCAAATATGTTTTAAAATGGATGTTTCAACAGTATGTAAAATGTTCTGAGTTGGAATATACTATTAGACTATAGACAAATAGTGATGTTGTTTAAGCTCTCCAAAATGCATAAATACTTGAGTGAGGTATTTGAGATCTTAGTTGGCGTTTACTCTCCATCAAGAAATAAACCACCTAAAATGATTCCCTAGGACTACATTTTGGTCAGCTCCCAATAATCTATAAACTAAGACCAGTAAAAGTAGTAACAAACCTTGTGTGATTATCTAAGTGATGTCAAGGATCAAGAATCCAAAAATTGATATCAGGTAGGTCAAGGAATTAGTGTGCCTTCTCCATATTTTCTGCAGCCTCTGCCATGAGGTCATTAATGTTTCTACCTTGAAATATGTCTGAATTTGAGGGTTGGGAAAAAGTCATGAGGAATGAAATGAAAAAATGCCCTGAGGAAAATGATGGATGAAGGATGATCCATGACATTGCGGATTAGAGTGACTCTTCTTGAAAGAAAGAAGAGAAAGCTCGTTACATGCATGAAACATAACTCTGAGGAGCTCCTCCATTAGATCCCAAGAAAATCCTACGCCAAAGAAAATGTTGAGTATAGGGGCTTATTTTTTTTAAATAGTTTTTCTTAAACATCCTGGACCCCCAGTAAAACTCAAAGAAGGATGATTGATGATGTTGAGTCGTGTACTATGAGGTCATACTGTTGTGCAACCATCATGATAGGGACCAACACCTTAATGCTCTGGAAGTAGGATACTTTTATTTCATTACAGCAGGAACTTTATCTCACCGCGAAATGTGCATACGTATTGCTCTATATTCTAATTTTTATAAGCATTTACAATTAATGCGCGTTATCCTTCTGTTAAGCATTCAAATTAAGCTAGTTTTTTAATAGAGTACCAAGATTATACTTGCAAAATTCAAGTTCAACACAAAAAAAATAGCTTGGTTTCGTTTACACATTGAAACTAAAAACCATGTGAAACTGTGATATAATTAATTAGAAAACAACCTTTTAAGGTCAAAATACTTTCGAGTTATGACACCTTTATAACCAACGCATCCAGCTAAATAAAACCAATAGCATGAGAAAAATAGTTTAGAAAAAGGAGCAGGAAATGATGCTCACGATTCTCACATGGAACCAATTGCCAATAATGAGAAACAATACTCACCGGACTTCATATCTACTCTTTCAACTCTCCCAACTTTTCTGAAAAGATGTTCCAAATCAGACTGGCGTGCATCATACACAAATTTTCCACAAAAAATGGGTCTCATGTTGCCTGAGCAGAAGAGATGACAATATCACATCAGTATTTCACACACAAAACACATACATGTGTACAAGCACAAACAAACTTATGAAAGAACAAGTCAAAACTAAAGTGTTAACTATCAAGTAGTAATGCACTCCTAACATGAACAAAAGAGAATGAGCAAGGCAACATCGTCAACAAATATTTGAAAGCTATTTAGTAAACTAATAGAGAGCAAACACAAGATAACTGACAAGACAAGGGGATCTTCCCAGCTATTTGAAATATAGAATTGAGGTCATTCCATAAACACTCTCCAAAATAAGAGACTTTCTTTAAATGAATTACATCTCTCGTTATTTATATTTTGATCCATCACACAATAAAAAGAAAATTATCAACCGCAACCTAGTGCACAATGTTTTCGAGGTCTTCGAAAAGAAGGAGAGCTAAAATCAAAATTACAGCTGCTGGATCTACATCAAGAAAAAATGAAACCAAACAGTAACCAAATCACAATAAAAATATACAAATCATAGATATGTGCTAAAACCTCTTCTTAGATGCTAAGACAACAAATACGGTGAGATAAATGACTGGAACTGAACAAATTAAATTAAAGAAATCATAAATACTAATTTTCCCATCATTTTCATGGAAAATAAATCAGACGGCTCTGGAAATTAAAATTAAATAGAATTTGAACACAGAAACGATGGTTAGAGTACGAAATTACCTTCTGCAGCAATGATTCCAGAAACAAATAAAAAATTAGGGAAAGTCAGGAATCCTAGTGAAGGAACCTTGCGATATTTTTCACGAAATGAGCTCGTGAGTCAATAAGTATAAAAATATATATGGATGAAAAGTATAAAAATATGGATTGATTAAATCCATTGCTCGAAACTAGATAAGCAAAAGTACCAGCTTGTAAGCATCGTGAAGCGAAAGCCACTGCTCAAAAAGCTTTTGCGTGAATTCGGGATTGGATTTGAGAACAAAAGGAGACATCTCCAGAAGCTGCAATAGCTCCAGATCCAAACACGCTACGTCTCCAACAACAACAGACTCCATCTTCTTTTCTTCGCATAACCAAACGCAACTTAAACAAAGTCTCCGCGCAGATCAAATATAATGAGCTTTAAAAGAATACAACCAACATATATGAGCTCAGAAACTTACGTATAGTAAGTAATTGAAAATGTGAACAAGGTAATTCAATTTTTAGCTGGGAAACAATTGGATACCCTAGATCTCTATGGAAACCCTAGATCTCCATGGAAACAGGGAAACCAAGCTTGGCAATTTTTCTTTCTTTTTCCTTTTTCCCCGTTAGCAAGCGAGTGATTTGGGACGAAATAAAGTGGTTTACAATTGAATGGTGGAATAGAGAACGAGGAATACCTGTGGAAACCCTTGAATTTTGACCCCTAGTCTCTGCGTTGTGGTGAAGGCCAAACCAGTGGGAGGTTGCAAAGAGAAAAAGGGAAAAAGAGAAAAATGGAAAAGCATGCAGCGTGAACTATCGAGTGAGAAGAAGCGGGAAAGATGAAAATAATGGGGAAAATTAAAATATAACTTTTACAGATGACACACAATCAAAACTGTACTCCGTGTTTTTGCAAATTTTTTGGATTATGACTATTAATTATGACACACATTATTGTAAGTCATAAATCATTCAGATTTTAAAAAACATGTCATTTTTTTATGACACACTTTTTTTGCAAGTCATAAATTAACGTGTGTCATCGTTCGTGTGTCATTAAAAGTATATTTTCTTGTAGTGCAACATATTAATCTTAAAGAGACCATCACATATTTTTATTCGCTATGATCGAATTTGGTATTCTATTAGTTACAACGAACAACCTAAAAAATGCATTTAAGAATTCCAACCACACTCACATGGACTAAACTATAAAGAGTTATAAATTCCCGTGAAATTAATTACATAGACTATAACAACAGATTTTAAAGACCATTTAAAACTTACTTAATAGTTTTTCATACATTGTTATAATATCATGGCTATTTAAAACATATCAAATAAAATCACTCAAAAACAAAATATTCTATTAGGAAAAAACCCTAGCCGCTTTCTTTCTTTTTCTCTCTCTTCCTTTTTCTTTACAATTTATGTTAATTTTATTGATTAATTTAACTTTTTTTCTTTAATTTTGTTTGAGCGGCGGCGTCATCAGTTTTGATGCTGGTTGCCGCTCGCCAGTTATCTTATTTCTTTATGTTTTTTAGGTTTTTAATAAGAATAATTATATCTTTGTGACATGTTCTCTGTCTTTGTGACATGTTCTCTGTCTTTATGACACTTTTATCTATGCTTTTGAGACATGTTTTTCTCTGCCTTTTGGTAGTTTACGGTTTTTTGTCATTATTTTCGTTTATCTTTTCTCTCAGGGTTGGATTTGACATCGCCATGATTGATCAAGATGACGCTTATTTGTTATCATGTTGATTTTTCCTGTTTTAGACCCTCGAATTGATTTGGATATGCATTTTGCGTTCGTCGATAGTTTTCTCAAGTCGCTTGACTTTGATTTGCGATTTGTTGGTGGTCTTTCAATAGTTTCATCCTCTTTTGTGGTTTGTTTGCCGATGTAGTCAGATTTATTCGTGTCTTTATTTTGTTCGAGTTTTTTTGTTAGGTTTTTTAACCTTTTTTTTTCTTTGATCTTTATGTGATCTAGGTGGTTGGTTTTTATCTCTATGATAATACGAAAATGTCATAATTATATTTTATGTTTACGATTATACTTGTAAATCTTCATTATAATTTTAAATATTTTCTATTTTTAATAAAACTAACTACTTTCAATAAAAAAAACATATCAAATAAACGTTTTGTTAAAACCTTTAACACGTTTGGCATTAAATCGTTAAACTTTTCATTAAAACTGTCATTTCACCCAATAATTAATAAATGTTTCATTATGTCCTTAAAAAATGCATAATCTTTTTTTTCTTAAGTTATAAAGTGATTACAAGATAGTATTTGTTCTATATATATTCTCAATCATTTAACATTGAACGCTCAATCACCCTACTGTAGCCGCTGGTGTTCGAACCCATAACCTCTAAGAAAAACAACGATTTCTTTAATCATTGAGGTAAGTTAGTTCATGCAAAAAAAATGCATAATCTTTTTTTTTTCTTAAGTTATAAAGTGATTACAAGATAGTATTTGTTCTATATATATTCTCAATCATTTAACATTGAACGCTCAATCATCCTACTGTAGCCGCTGGTGTTCGAACCCATGACCTCTAAGAAAAACAACGATTTCTTTAATCATTGAGGTAAGTTAGTTCATGCAAAAAAAATGCATAATCTTAATACATGTTTAAACGTTTTTTATTAATAACTTATGCCTAAATAGATTATAGCATATTGAAACTTATGTTTGTTCGTTCTTTTTAAATGCATGTTACAGATTTAAAGTTCATAAACAAACGAGCATTAAAAGAAAAAAATTAAATTGACTTTAACAAGCATATAGAAACATGTTATAACATACAACCATGATTCTAAAACTGATCACCATTCCATTTTACTAATATTTAAAATCCACTTAATATCCCAACTTCACTTGGTAAAATAAATCTTAAATGGTATTATACTCCTGCCTTTATCATCGCAATTTGACCTTCGATGTAACTTTAACAAATAGTAAAGCATTAGATGCATGTGTATAATACATAATTGAAGGATGATAATATATCTTTTTAACTGGGTTAGAAGGCTTCGTTATTGAGCTAGTCCAAGTTCAAACAACAACACTTGAATTCACTTCTAAATTATTGCAAAATAAACTGCTATAAAACGAGGAATTAACACTGATTGAAAAATATAAAATGAAATATGTATACAAAGAACCGATTAATCATGTTGTGGTATTAGTCACTGTCTTCGAAGCGAATTTGCCCTGATATGTGTAATCGCTATAATGGATGAATGACCCCCGAGGTTAGCACAACTCTCCAGATTTCGTAAATCCAAAAGATGGAGTGGACTCAAATGAGACTGCTCTTCTCTCCAATCAAAACAACACTCAAAAAAAGATTAAATAGAGTGATTTTAAAGAAAACAATTGATTAGGGATATCTCAAATGAATGAAATCCTTCATTATTTATAGGCTAAATAATGAGGAAAAAAACATAATTTCCAAAGCACAATTTAATTCTATTTAAAAGAGAATTAAAATGCACTTAGAAATAAGTTGAAATTTGAGAATTAACAATAATAGCTGATGAAAGATTAGTCGTTGGCTAGTGTCAATGTATTTTTCTCCATAAAGAGATAAAATAAAAGGAGGGTGAAAGGGAGGTGGTTTCATATAGGTTCTCCCGTTTTCTCTCAGTCTTGGTCGAGAGATTTTATAGCGGCCGTTGGAACTAGTGTTAGGTGTAGTGTTATGATGACTACTTGTAGGTTTGAAAGCTAGATGGATATGATCAGGTGACGATATATTTGACTCTGGTAGATCAGGTGACGATATATTTGACCCTGGTAGATCATGTTAGTCTATCAAAGATCATATCAATAGTTTGTAACTTCTCGAGAGATGTTATATATTTAAGGTTCATCTTCCGAAGACATTCTCTTTATGTCTTCTAGAGTTCTCTAGGTCATGAAGGTTTAGAAATGCTCTTGGGTCCTCTGGTAGCCGAATTAATCGTTTGAACACCCCTAATGTCAATAAGTGGCTTGACTCGCGGTTTGATTGTTGGATCATTACTGACATTTATTAGGTTGTTTTGGGGAAAACATTACAATTATTATTTTTTGAACGACTTGAATGCTTAAATGCGTGGCACGTTGTGTTTATTATGATGGAATGGAGAGCAATTTTGACCTCTCATTTAATTATATAAGGAGGACATGGTGTGGAGTGTTCTCTGGGTTAAGAATTATAGAGAGGCATGGCCTTTTGGAGGCGTAGATAAATTGCATAGATATTAATAGGGGAAGAATTAGAAGTGGCTACATTGCTTGTTTATTTTCATTTTTCCATGAGGCTTTAGTCAAACAAGCGATCACCACATGATTTTTCCAAGGGTTTCAGGCCCAATGATGAAAATGCATCAATGGATTATATACATCAAGGGTTATAGGACTTACTTGATGGCGATTTTGATAAGGTCGTGAAATGTAATGTCGTCACTTTTATAGGAGAAAATAACTTATGGACAATCGCACGTGGGACCGCTTGCCTAGTTTTGGATGTTTCTCGAGGACGTTCTTGAGTTTTCTTTCGTCCTCTTGAGTTCCTAGGGTATTTCAGACTTATCGCTTAGTGATGTTTTAGAAGTGAATAATTTGTCTTTAGGGGATTAGGGGTGTATTTCGACTTATTATTTTCTATTAGAATGTGTTTCGCTCTCATTTCATCAATTATTGATAAAAACAATATGTTAAGTAAGATTTGGCTATTCACTCCTTCTGGTTTGAACGAAGAGCAACAATCGATGATTATACGACCATTGGTCAGTACCAATAAGGGGAGAGAAGAAGAAAGGTAAAGATGGTGGCTCCTCTTTTTATTAGTTTTGGTCGGGAGATTTTATACTAATCTTTAATATTTGTGTTAGATGTAGGTTCATGATGGCTACTATTGCATGTGTGAGTGTACTAAAATATGGCACACAAGAATGTGCAAGTATATACAATCGAACAAGCAATATAGTAGTGAGTGAGTATTGTCTCCACAGGGATTGATGGGATTTCCAAATTAAGTTAAAGCACTAATACCATATATCCTAATGTATAGATATATGGTGGTATGAGCAATTGATGAGAATGCTATGACAAAATGAAAAGTGTGAAGATAGAATGCTATGATAATTTGGCAAGTATAGAGTGTAAAATATTGTGGCAAACAGTGAAGTAACAAGTCAAGAATGCTAAGGCAAATTAAATTGAGAATCTGGGAATAAATAAGATAACCTGATAACTTTACACAAACAAGCTACAATGGGGATAATTGGCAGGGTTACTAAGGAATCCTAAGCCTTGTCTTCTAGAATGGTTCAAGCCTTTAATGCATATACTGCTCGACAGAGTTTGTTAAAAGTGTTCCTAGGCTATCTCTAATAAGGAACTTGATAATGAATATGCTACGATAATGCCTCTCAGGTGAACTGCAGCAAAATCCTATCGACTAAGTACTGCTCCTTTTAGTCGTTGAAATCATCTCCTTATCTCTAAGGTGGATTAGGGCTTTGCTACCCAGCTAGACCCTATTGCTCACGTTGATCTCACCTGACTCTTTTGAATATTAGACATCAAACTTAGGAAATGACTACTCTCACAAGCTCTTATAATCCTAAACAATATAATACAATGAACAAAACAAATATACCATGAAAATATCAACCATTCATTTCAACAAATACTTAATAATCCAAAGTAAACTCACACCAAATAAGGTTAGTTCATGGTGTACAAATCATCCAAAATAACAATTTGTTCTATTACAAACCCACAAATAAAACAAAATGAAAGAACAAAGGTAAGAGGAAACTCCCAAGCACGTGAGCTGCAGTGAACTTCCTTGGACCAACCTGAACCGCCTTAGCAAGCTAGCTTCTCTTAAAGGACTAGCTTGCTACCCCTTGAAGCTTGGCTATGGAGGACACTATGAAGGAGGAAGAAAAGGGAAGAAAAATGGAAACTTTGTAGCCGCATTCCTCTCTTGCTTATCTCACCCTTTTTCTAAAAAGACTCTTTTAATTTTAGTGCATCCTTATCTATTTATACTAAGGAAATGTCCTAGAGTTTTGTGCCAAAATTTCTTTTGTACCCTAGGTATAATTCCTTCATGTGAAGGGGTACGCAAGGATGGTAGTGGGGCTCACACGGACAGCTGATAAAATGAATCACGTATGGGTTGGATAATTGGCCCCTTCATAAAAATATCTTAAGCTCTTTTGTCATTTTTGTGCCCAGAAATGCCATCTAGACTGCTACAACATTCTTCTAATGTATCATTGCTCAAAATGCTACAACAAATCTCCTCACTCTCTTTTGGCTTCAATCACCTACACATCATCAACAAAACACAACATTCTATATTCAGTAGCACCAATTTTCAAAATAAAATGTTGCAGCAAAACAACTCTACTACATGCAACTATATGATCCTAAATGCAACTATATGTACTAAATGTGCCTTAAGACAATCAATAACCTAAGTAAAAAGGCAGAGAATATATCATTTTTACGGGGTTATTAGCTACTTCTATGTTAACAAGCTTAATTGATCTAATAAGATGCTAATTGATTTTGACTTTAACATATCACGTGATTTACAAGAGTTCATGTCAAACAGACGTAACAGTCCTAGAGGCGCACAACTATGAAATACTTATGCCCAAAGATACCCTTATGAGGCATCAATAGGTTTTATGTGGAGAGTCACTTCTCGCAGAGGCTTGCGGAGTAAATATAGAAATGGTATAAAAATTCTAATAGCCACAACGACAATTAAATCCTCTTATTATTAAGGGGCACCAAAGCTGAGTTGGTTTAAACTAAACATAGATAGGACAATGAAGTTCGATGGGGATGGTGCAGTGTTTAGTGAAGTTATTAGGGATCATAACGACAAATGAGTGGTAGATTATGTGAGGAGCATTGATAGTTTCTTGGCGTTGGAAGCTAAGATGTGGTGGCATGTATGTAGTAGCTTGGTAAGAGTAGACACGTGTCCATCCTGAAATCTGAATTTTGTTCGATTAGTTATTTATTTTTCTGATAGGGCCCACTCAAAAATTCTTCGTGCCCACCCTGAAATATGAGTTTTCTTCAATTAGTTATTTATTTTATGGACGGTGTCTACCCTAAAAGTTTATTTGTACCCACCCCATTTAAAAAATTTATGTTGTTAACATATGTGTGCCTACCCTGAAAAATATTTCTGGATCGGTCACTACAGGTTTGATATTGGAAGCTTCTTCAATTACATAAGGAATTGTAACACCGGTCGAATGTTGGCGAGCTGTGCTTAAGGGACTAGTGCATGTGAGCAAAGCATTGGGGATTTTTGGTTCCAGTGGAAATGGAACTAAGGGGCTATTTGTTTGCCTCTTAATGGAATCATTCAGTGCTGAATGTTAAACTGTTCAGCATTCAGCACGTTTGTTTCGCACCTCTGAATGATTCAGTGTTGACTGATTCAACAAAACAGTGTTGAATGATTCAGCACAGAAGTACATTCTGAATGATTCAGAGCCATTATCAAACAGCATGTCACATTCAGAGGTAATTCATACAGAGCCTCTGAATCATTCGGCATTTGAATCATTCAACGCTTAATCATTCTTAAGTAAACAAACGACCCTTAAGACAATTTGTTTAGGGCTTCTTTTCTGTTGAAATAATTTATGAGGAAAACGAGATTCGTGTGAGAAACTCACTTTCCTCCATGAATTTGTCTCTCACCATCTTGGTCGGTATCCATGAAACTATTGTCGGATAAGAAAACCCACACACCAATATACAATTTTTGGTGAATCATTTTGTTCAAATATTGATGGTCGATATGCACAACGCATGAACATGGATGCAGAACAATCCACAACGACCTTTACATTAAATAGGAACTCTTCCAAATCTATTCCTTCTTCAAATGCAACAACTGCATGAAAAACAAAAAGAAAGAATTTTATCATTCCAAGTACAAAAAGAAATAAAATGAATTGGTCGGCGGTGAGGATGATGACTGGTTATTAAATGACGATTCCAAGATTACTGTGACAGCCAACAACGATAATGAGGGTTAAGTTTTTTTATTTATTTTTTAAGACTTGAAAGAGATTTGTCCTCTCTTTAAATTACAAATTAAAAAATTAAAATGATTTTTTTAAATTAAAATATCACACATGTCATGTTTCGAGTGATTGATACTTTTTTTTAACAATTGTGATGAATTAGATTAGGGATAAAAGTCAACCCAATTTGACCCGAAAAATATATATCTTCCATCCGAATCTGACCAGATCCAATATATATATATATATTTCACCCGAGTTCGATTTAACCTAAATTTTAAAGTATAAATTTGATTCAACCCGGTTTGACATGATATAAAATAAATACAATTAATATATATATATATATATATATATATATATATAAAGGATGTATTATTGTAATTATCCATAAATTGTCATCCCTACATTAGACTTGACTCGAGATTTTTCACCGTCCACCCAGACTTGACTCGATCTGACCTCATTTCTTTAAAGAATCTAACCCGACTTGAACCTAATTTTTTAAAAAGAAATCCGACCTTATCATATCGGATCGAAATCCGTCGATTTTAGATTAAATTATCATCCCTACTTCAAACATTTAAAATAATATTAGAAACAAATATTAAACATTTACCTTAAGAAAATGTAAACACTTAAAAGGAATAAAAAAATATAATTTCAACATTTTTGTAAAAAAATAATAATATAATTTCAACATTTACTTTTTAATTAAGCATAAAAAGAGGAGGAAAGGAGAATTCTCATCGTCACTCAATTTTAATTTCATTTAACCCAAGTAAAACAAAAGGCCCTATTTCCATCGTCAAAGGATGTACGGTCAAGACGGAGGCGAAGCTGCTCCGCCTTTTTATGGTGGTGGATATACCAGTTCTGGAGGCTACGGTGGAGGCGGTCGAGGTGGAGGTCACGGGGGCCGTGGCGGCGGCAGAGGAGGAGGTGGAGGATATGGCGGTGGTTCTCAAAATCGAGGTAATTTTTTGGTTGATTTGTGGGTTAGCGTTGTTGGCTATTATTTGCTTGCATTTTTATATTGGTTTTATCGAGATCGATTCGATTTTAGGCTTTTGTTCTCACTTTTAATAAATGGGATCTTGATGCTGCAGGAGGCGGAGGAGGCTATCAAAGAGAGCGCGGTGGAAGAGGTGGTGGCCGTGGTGGAGGCGGACGAGATGGTGATTGGCTTTGCCCTAATCCCAGGTAAAGGATCTTTTCACTGCGCTTGGTTTACTTTTGGCGGAGGTTTTCCCCTCCCTTATGGACTGTGTATTGTTAATTAGTCAAAAATTAAAGCATTGGTTTGCTGATATTTTGATATTACTGTAAGTTGTCTAGATTTGTGTAATTTAAACTGGCATGTCTATGTAGCTGTGGGAATTTGAACTTTGCAAGAAGAGTTGAATGTAACAAATGCGGTGCACCCTCTTCTGCATCTGCTGGTGAACGTGGTAGTGGTAGTTATAGCAGAGGTGGTGGTGGAGGATATGGTGGTAATCAGGGAGGTAGAGGAGATGGGGATAGAGGTGGTTATGATAGTGGGAGGAATAACAACTATAATGGAGGCAGATATGGGAATTATGATAACAGAAGCAGTGGTAGTAGAGGTGGTTCTTATGGAGGTAGTCAAGGAGGGGAAGACGATGGCTATGGTAAAGTTCCTCCTCCAGCGCCCAGTTCTTATGGTGGAAACTATCCACCTGCTCCTAATGCATATGGTGGAAATGCAAATTATGGAATGGAAGCTGTTCCTCCACCAACAGGTTATACTGGTGGACCCACATCATACCATCCACCTTATGGTGGCTCTGCAGGTGGTGGAGGTTTGAGTGATGTGAGCACTGGTGGTCGAGGGGGAGCTCCTGGTCGATATGATGGTGGGTATGGTTCTGGTGGTCCTCGAAATCAAGGAGCTGGTCATGGTAGTCCTCCTGTTGACACATCAGTTAAGATCAAGCAGTGTGACGGCAACTGTAGTGATTCTTGTGACAACTCAAGAATATACATATCAAATTTGCCGCCTGATGTTACTATTGAAGAATTAAAAGACCTTTTTGGTGGCATTGGACAAGTAATGGCCAAATCTTATACTTCAAAGTTCAAATCAATGTGCTGTCTAATGAGAATTATGTCGTCTACTTTGTACTGGTGTTTCTGTTTTATTTTCAGTGCTGGTATTTGTGGTTTATGATCATTTTTCTTTAAACCTTATTTTATTCTCTAGTTCCATGTTTTGGTGGACATTAGCGATTTTACATATGGGGTTGTATTGGCAAGTTCTGCTTTTATTTTGCATAAAATTTTGGTATCCTCACTAATATTTCTAACATTTTACATCTTGTTTAGGTCGGAAGAATTAAGCAGAAGCGTGGCTATAAAGATCAGTGGCCCTGGAATATTAAAATATACACAGATGAGAAAGGAAACCAGAAAGGCGATGCAGTTTTGTCTTATGAAGATCCTCAGGCTGCTCACTCTGCTGGTGGTTTCTTTAACGGTACATACCTGTGAACTTTATCTAGTTTGTTGCCTTAAATATTTCACCTCACCCTTGTCGAATCTTCTCCCAGATCATGTCATGAGAGGCTATACGATCAGCGTGGCTATGGCAGAGAAGACTGCACCCAAAGTATATGATCATGGGTATCGGTTTAACCTTTCAATTACTTAAATTAAAACTGTTTCTTTAGATTGAGTTCATCTATATTGCATTTAGATGCTTTGTTTTAACATGTAATTTATGAATATATAATACCTATGAGCATTTTCTGGCTCTTGGGAAATATTATATATGTTGGGTTCCTGCTTTTAAGTTTTTGCTTGCTCTCATTTTCTTCTGAAATCATGTTCTCAAATGACCACCTCTTTTCACCATTAATGGTTTATGGTTTTACTGGTCTTGTCTTGAAATTTTTTGTATGGTTTGCTTGTGTTAATGTTAAGTAGCCCTTATGCCTATCACTTTGGAAGTAAACAGCAGAAAAGATTGCCTAAATTTATTTCTTCCTTGAACTCTTACCGTGCAAACTTGTTCTTGGTCCAAGTAAATTTTGTTTTTGTTTAAGGTGCATTATTGATCCCTTTTTTTTTACAGAGGTGGTAGAGGCGGCTACGGAGGTGGTGGCAACAGGCACAGGGATAGTTACAGAGATGGAAGTTCTGGACCAGACAGGCACAACCATGGTGGAAACCGTTCACGTCCATATTGAGGGACATCGATCGTCAACTATTTTATGTACTAAGAATTGTGGTCTAAGGGTTCTAGTTGTGTTGCATTGACAGGATTATTCTTGAACAGGAGACTAAGAGGTAGGTTGTTCACTTGTCTGGGCAATACCCTTTTTTCTCCTAACTCCTTTGTTCTGTTAGCTGGGGATTTTTCCTTTCTTTTCGTTAGATTGATCGAGTTGGTGAATCTTTTTATAGAGGCAAGTGGATTAACTCAAAATTGCTTGCTGCTAAGGTAGGTTGATAATATCAGGCGAGTCCTGCTCTTCTAAAAAACACATTCACCCTTTTGTTTGGTTAACGCTTAGTGGTGGATTCGATTTTATTCTCTGGTCATCATTCAACATGTTGGAATGAACTTGTGATTTTATGGATGGGTACCTTTTATATTGAAGATGTGCTTTGATTAGAGATGATGGAATTTAGCATCCCATGCTGGAATGTAGGTGCTGTTTAGTGGCGATCTCAAGCTAATTAATCTGGTGGACAATATTTCCAAAATTATGTTATAACATTAAGGCTGGATTTAGTGTCGGTAAATTAGTTTTTAAGGGGTGGGGGTGAATTGCTTGTCTTGTTGCAAATAAAAAGAAAATGGTTGGTCACAATGAGTTGTTGAAATGGCATTGGATAATGGGGACCTTGGGTTGTAGCTAACATAAATAACATCGTTTTCATAAGATATGAATACACGATATTTAACCTTCTGATTTGTCTGATGGTATTATTCACTATACATTTGATCAGACTGAAACTAATTCGACGTATAATGATTCAACATTAAATGTTTGAATTTTAAATATGAATGATCATAATTGTTTTATTAAGCTAAAAGTGTTTACCAAATAATATATGTTTTTATTGGTGTTCAAACTCTGGATTTTTTAGAAATAACAATCCTTCTTTTAATCAAAGTAATTTGATTCATGTTGAATGAACATAATTTAAAATAAGTTGAATAAGAATTCAAAATGAAACAATTTAAAATAAGCTGATATTCAAATTTATCTGAAAATATTCTCTGTGATTCATATCTTAAAATAATCTAAATCAAAACCATTCAAAAAAAAATTAAATTAGTTCGACTAAGTGAGGTTCTACCTATAGTTTTTTTGTTGAGGAAAATAAGAATTATCTGCATGGCCAATTACCTAGACGTGCTAATTATTTAGCCCGATATGATACAAAAGACTTTATTTTGGAACTACGATAGTTTCTACAGTGTTGGGGAACTTGTCATGCCCACATGATGAGTTCCCCAAAAAAATATATTTTAATGACATGAACCTTGTATGATTCAATATTTTATTATATTTTTTGGAACTTGTTATGTCCATGTTATGAGTTTTATTAATATATATATATATATATATATATATATATATATATATAAATTTAAAATTAAAATTTTTCCATAATAATTATTTTTTAAAAAATAATAAAATTTATTATGTCGACGTGACGAGTTCCTTTTGCTTTAAAAAAACTAGTCGTTTATAGCCGTTGGGAAAAGGGTATTTTTAAAATGATAAAGAATACGTCATGTGGGAGTGACAAGTTCCAAGGTTATATTGATATTTTTTTTACTAAATGCAAACTACTAAATTTTACATTAGAAGCATTAACTCCGACATTATATTACGTTAACGTAGAAGCATTAAGTCGTTACCTCTACGTTTTAATCTTTATAGTCAGTTGAATCGTCAGATGTTAAGTTCATTCAATCCTCCATTCTTTCCCTTGTTTCTTCTATATATAAATAGTTCAAATTCTTGGAGTTCAGCTTCTATATTGTCAGATGTGTATTGAGATTTTATTTTTGATATGGACGGGGTTGCGTCTTATTTATGATACTCAACAAATAAGTCACCATTACTTACCGAATTTGTAATGTATGTGTCAATAATTGTTCAAACTGCACAATCATTGTTCAGATAGTGCATTGATGAATGTTGTGGAATTAAAAGGTTGGAAACTCGAACTGTAGTAAAGAAAGTGTTGAAACTTCATTAACTCTAACCTTGTTTGAAATTTTCATCATCAAGTCGCAAAGTCGAATGTCTCCCTCGAAAGAAATGATAAAGGATTTCCTCTCATAATAAATTGTTGTTGAAATTGTTGCCATGGAAATATTCTAAATAAGAACTTGAACAATGAAATTGTGTCTCTCATTTAAGCATGAATATATAACACTGAAAAGAAAAATGACATTTTTCATTCATATATCACTGAAAAGTCATTTTGAAGTGATAAAACACTGAAAAGCCATGGTGAAATTATTATGATAGGGTCTGATCAATTAGTAAATAAGCACTGAAAAGTTCAGAAATTAGGTGGTATATCACTGAAAAGAAAAAGATGTTTTTCAGTCAGATATCATTGAAAAGTCATTTTGAGGTTATATATCACTGAAAAGTCATGGTGAAATTATTATGATAGGGTTTGATCAATTATTAAATATGGTCAAAAAGTTTAGAAAAGAGGTGATATATCACCGGAAAAAAAGGAGGTTTTGAATTATTATGATAGAGTCTGATTAATTATTATGATAGGGTCTATTAAGTCACTGAATTGAGGTGATATATCATTGAAAATTTTAGATATGAAGTGATATATCACTGAAAAAAATCTCTATAATTTTTCATTCAATGGTCACTGAAAAGACACCATTTAATGGTAAAAAACATCATTCAATGGTATGCTATATCATTGAATTGAGGTGATATATCATTGAAAAGATAAAGGACGTTTTGATAGGGTCTTTTAAATTGTCTTATGTTCTTTGAATCTTCAAAAAATCTACTTTTTACAACTTCCTTGAATTTACAGAAAATTCTTTCAAACAATGACTAACAAAATTTTGACAGTTATCCATTCCAATGGCCAAATTCTACAAATCGATGATGGTTTCATGTTTACATCACAATGTCTCGTAATATCATCACCAAATAAAGCAAAAAATTGAAAGAAAACTTGGAGCTTCTGTTTCATGTTTGAGTTATCGACATATGATCTCATCAACTCCACTCATATATGGAGCAATCCAACTTGAGGATGATGACGCTATTTTTGTTATTGTTGGAATCAATAATCAAATAATCAAATGATAGATATTAATGCTGAAATGACAAATGCATTAGATCTTCCTACCTTATCAACAATTACATCCGCTCAGAAGAACCAAAAACATCTATACCACATGAAAGTGATGCAAATGATAACCTTGTTAGGCTATTCGGTGAAAGCCTTGTTGAGTTTAACGAGGATGATGAAATAGTTATTCCAATGATGGAAGATGGCGACACACATATACTTGTTAATTTTGATATCGCTGAGGCAACTTTAGAGGGACAAGGATACCAATTTCAGTGTTACTGGCATCTATCAGGAATACATTTGGTTATATTTTCTCTTACTACAAGTCGTGAATGAAAAAAAACGATATTGTTGTATGGTGATTGGGATCAGTCATATAATAAGCTATCACATTTGTTGCATGCAATGGAATTTTTCATCCCTGCAACCATTGTAAAATCTTATACTTTTCAAGTGACCATGATTCACAAAGAAGTTATCCCTAGAAAGAGAATTTTTGGTGACTTGTTCTAGGCTTTCAAGTCATATATTGAATGATTTCGATTTTTGCAAACAAATAATTCAAGTGGATGTGATTTTTTGTATGAGGTATACAAACACGTCTTGATGATAGATGTTGCATAAGATGGTGATAGAAACATTTTCCCCATTGCCTTTGCTATTATAAAAAATAAATCGAAGGTAACTTGAAATTTCTTTCTCTCCAAATTGTGTTCACATATTGTCACTCAAGATGAGGTTTAAATGATATTATACCGTTCACCTGGGTTATTAGCGACAATTTCTACACCCGAAAAGTAGATGGTCGCATCCCCACGTATATCCTACATATTGTATACATCATATTGCCTCTAATGTTATTATGAGATTTAAGAACAAAAAGATCAAAAAGAGATTATCAATATGGGTAACTTCTACGTTTTTTCCTTGTAAATCATTTATGCTTCATTTATGTTCTTCATATATTATTCTTAAATACAATTTTTTAGGATATGCTTTACTATAACCAAACTTCCGTGCACGACTATAAAATTTGAGGAAATACGGAAAAGATGTTTATAACTTTGTAGCTGAAATATCTCGGGAAAGATGGTTACAGGCATATGATGATCAGGGTTGATGTTACAACTATATAACAATCAATCTTGCCAAATATATATACTCGGTGCTTAAAGGGACTCGACGTCTTCCGGTAGCAAGTATTGTTAGGGATATTTACTTCAAATTGAGTAAAGTTTAGGGAAAAAAAGTTTACAAATAGAAGCCATGATCACCGATGGTCAAAATTGGGCTCCAGATTTGGAGAAGGCAATGAACAAAAATCAAGAACATGCAACATCAATGTTTGTTCATAATGTTGATAGACTTGATTTTGATTACATTATCCAATTTCTTGTTCGACCACATGAGGGTGGCAAATGTGACTGGTTTGTCTATTGTGCAATTTTGGTAGTTTTGATCTTGACATTTTAGATCAATTTTAAAACTACGTTTGTGTAGAAAATAACTCAATTTTCTCAACAGTTGGTATCATACCTTCGATTGATGTTATCCTAGTGATTCTATTGTTGAAAATATTCAGTTCGTGCTATTGAAGATTGTTCATTGGCATTGAAATGAAAAAATACGTATTTGTTGAGACATCAAGCTCTTTATCTAGACAAATGAGGAGGATAATATCAAATGTAAACTTCTCGGTGTAGTTGTTTGATGGATCTGGTCATTCCGGCATGTGACAAGCGAGGTGTTAGACATTTTTTCCAATAAGGTCTCGACATCGCCATTGAGGAAGAACAATCCACAGATATGGAGAAGAAAGAATGTAGAACAGTTAATCGTTTGATGTACAACACGATTCGATCTTGTCATTCCAAGGAGACAAAGTATGACTACAAGAACGAGACTTCTGCAAGTAAGCAATATAAAGCATTACAGGATAAATTTTTAAAAAATGCCTTTAGAATCATCTCTACATGAAGAATTGATTGTTCATATTTGATTATCAATCAGACATCAATATGAATGAACACATCACTGCCTTCAATAAGCTAGCGGCAGATTTATTAGGCATGGATGAAGCCTTCAAAGATGAAGATTTGACTTTAATGTTATTTTCATCTCTTCTAGATGAATTTGAGAACCTTGAGACAATGTTACTTCATGGTAAGGATAAACTTACCCTTAAATTTGTAATTGTTGCTTTGTATAATTATGAGCTCAAGAAGAAAAC